ATTCGCGATCTTGGATGCCCCCCCCCGATAGTCGTCAGAGGGGCCCTGCCGTTCCATTCTTGTTTTAGGTTTACTATAGAACTGCCTTGATTTCCAGAGTGCGCACTCGCAAGATGATGAAACGGCACTAGGGCTAGAATAAAGAAGCATCGAAGTAGGAGGTTATGAAACAGACAAAGATGAACAGGCTTGATGTAATAGGGAGACACCAAAGTGACGGAACCCAAGCAGAAGATTGCTGTTATTCTTAGATGGCAACTGCCGGATTTAGAACGACCTCTTTCACGCTGCGCTCGGTACCATCTCCAGACTCAACTGGAGGACACTCGCCTGATATGATGGAGTAAGCACTGTACGTATCTTGAGAGCTGTGTAGGGCTTGGAACAACATGTGGAGACTCATTTGGTCGCATCGAACATATTGCCAAGGCCCTAAGCCTATTGCAATGTGTCATAAATATTACCTACCGTCTTTCAGCTGCACCAGGAAACGGATGGAAATGGGGAAGGGGCAAGGAGGGTTGGAAGCAGGGAGAGGGCAGAGTGGCGGGGAAGAGCAGCCTTCGTGGCCGGCGGTGTTTGCTACCGGACTTGGGAAAGCGTGCCTTCTAGTGTCAACTTTGTAGACTTCCAGAAGCCCTTGGAACGCGTAGGAGAGTTTGGAACTATGAAAGTTTGTGTTAATCTTCACCATGAGCCAAGCAATCCTTGTGCCAATCCCTCTCATCTATCTGCCCGAGGGCGATTCGGAGGCTCAGCTTGCAGATGACCCTACCTAAACCGGAAAGGGAGATCAAAGACATCCGAGGAAGGACGAAGTCATAGCGGCCGATTGAAACCTCTACCATACTGAAATAAAAGTCGTCCACTCAACTTGCATAACACAATGATCGGGAGCACTTCCTTGCGCAAAGTTTCTGGGCAGGGTCTCTGTCTTAATTGCTCACGCCTTCACGCACACGGTATGTGGTAGTGCATGCAACAAACCGACCCCTGATCGACGACAGCCGATAAGATAACACGCTGCTGCTGTTGCTGCTGTTCAGGCTTTCCCCCTTGTTGACTGGGAACAAGGAATGAAGAAACTCTCATCAACTAGGGTACGTCCTTGCCAATGTTCCTGCGCCCGGGAAGGGTCAGGTTTCTCGAAGACGGGCTGTGGACAAAGAACTCTGCCCCGAGCGAATCTGGGTCCCTGGGCGAGTCTGGGTTCCTGCGCAAGCCATTGAGGCATCGTCAGAGGGCCATCGAATCTAGTTTCAGCCCACGGTGCGGGATAGTCGTCGATCATGTTAGCAAGTTACTCCTTGGCGGTGTTGACTCCATCTGGTGCTGAAGCCAGTACCGTAGAATATCTCCGACCAAGTCATGGGATGGACAAGGAGAGTATAGTAATGTTGCGGATGAAAGCGGGGATTGCCCAGTTGGGATCGATGATCTATGGTTGCAGCCAATCCTAATCCAGGCACTAGGCTTGATCTTGCTTGCAATTGCATGCATCTGGGCACTGTTGATGTAGTAACAGCCACCTGGGCGGCCAGCCCTCTGCAGCATACTACACCTCCATGGTTGTGTTACTGTCTTTGACCATGTTGTTGGTACGACAACGCAGCCAGTAACGAGCTGAGAGACTGAACACTCCAAATTGCCCCAGAGCCGTGTTGGGACAGGGGGTTGATACGAATGAAGAGCCCGCCACTGTTCATCGGTATGTTTGTGGTCTGGAGAGACGAGCCCAAGGCAGCGACACGTGACCGAACCGTATCCGACTGACAGGAAAGGGCCAGGCCAAGCGAAGGCAAGAGTGAGTTGGCTCGGGAACCATAAGATGAACAAGCAATCGCCGGATTCCCCATTGTGCCAAGCTGCAATCAATTCATGCAGCGTGCAGTCCCAATTGTCTTGTCAAAAAGCCATCAGTAGACTAGTGAAATTGCAAGCAGCTTCTTGCGTACTACAGTACTGCTGTCACGTCACTACCCATAATTGGTATACTTGAATTCTCTGGCAGGTAGTCACGGTGTATGATTCAGGCTTTTCTATCGATAGGTCTTCGAAACCTCTTGAGATGTAGCCTTCTGATATAGATAAGTACTAGGTAGTGAACGAGCTGAGCTCACCAATTCATGATCATTAGGAACGGCTGCCTACCTCACCATCCACTCAATCGACTAGGCCCAGCCTATGACACGAACTCGCGCCAGAGAAGTCGCATTTGCTTGCAAGCGAATATGGTAGGAGGACTTAATACTAGGTAGTTCACTCGCTGATAGTCAAATAATGTACTGTACGTACTCGTAAGTAACGGGGAAAAGTGGGTCGGCGGGCGGACATTACGTTTCCCGATGCAGCCTTGATGCGGAGACCAGTGCCCGGGCGGCCGAGCTGGAGGCGTTTCCCAGTTACCCACTGCACTCACTACCTACCTAGACCCTTTCAATACATGACGCTAGTGCGGTCCAGTCACCCGTGGTCAGCTGAAGCCAATGTCTAGTCTCCGGCTAATACAGCCCCTCTAATGGCTCCGCCAATTGGTATCTCGTGGCGTAAGGCAGTATCCATGGGTCTTGAGTGTGCCATGTCTGGATGTCAGTTTGGGATGGTAGGTAGGTGGTATTCAGTGAGTATTGTGTTAGATATCATTAGGACGAGGGGCAAGGGGGAGAGAGAGTGTGTGTGTATGTGCTTCAACGGTGATCGATCGTGAAATCCACAACACTGTACATACACCACTGTCAACTTCACTCGAAGGCCTTGAGGTAGACAAGATACTCCAAAATGGCGCGTACAAGGCCTGTAAAAAAGGTTAGAGGGCACCGCTCAGGGCTATTGGCATTGGTATCATATACCCAAGCTTTCCGTCTGGAGACAGTGTAATTTTTGCTCTGTTTGGCCTTGGCACTTTCTTGCTGTTCGCACCCGATCCCAACTTACGTCCAGCTTTCCCACTGGTCTTCTCCCTATCACTTGACCGAGTTACGGATTTCTCTCGGTTAGCTAGATAGGTAGGCCGACAGGCAGTGAGTGACATTTGCATCCAACGGGTCTCCAGGTCTGATTCCAGCAATGTCGTATATACGGACCAATGAACACCACCGCAGATGGTTTGCCGGCCTTACACCATGGGCCATTTGGTGTGCTTGGCTGATCTCCCGGTACGGCCGAAAAAGAGCCAAGAGAGAAGGACGATCGACTAGCTGACACGATTGTGTTGGGGTCATGATTGAACGGCCAGAGGGCGCTGATTCGTCTTGAGCGGCCTAGGACACATAGGTCCCCTCATCTCTGTACGTCTAGCCCATTTAATGGACTTGAGGTGCTGGACCTGGGTATAGGCAGTTCGCAGTAAAAAGCTCCGTGTCTGTAGTATGTGCAAATCGGTATGATCTGATGATGGTCGGGAAGCCGGGGACTAGGGGATCCATGGGTGCTGCCTTTTTAGCATCGGGGTCTAGTATCGGTGCGGGCAACCATTTCCACTTGGTATGATGACGCTGAGGAACGGAGAGGGGTCTGGGGAAGCTCCCTGAGTTGTAACGAGCTCCACATCGGACAATCCGAGCCCACTTCCATGGTTGATTCGGGTGGGTTGCGGTCGAGGTTGATCGTCGAGATATCAAAAGACGAGAAATAGATAGAGAATGAAGAAAGGAGGCAGAGTGTGAGTGTGAGTGTGAGTGTGAGTGTGAGTGTATGTGTTGGAGGAGAAAGTCCAGACCAAATGGGACGATTTGTGAATGTACAAGAGCATCTTCCTACTAGGCAGTGTCTATCAATTTCGGATCGGTAACTTAACTCCGCCGCCTGTCTCCGCCGCTAGTCTCTGTGGTCGCTGCTAGGCTGTTAGCATGTTACAAAGAGCAGATATGGATCTTCCTCTGGCCCGATCGATTTGTAGGCATCCTATATTGTTTCTTTCCCTCCTCTTTCCTTCTTGCTTGCTGAGTTATGCAGCTGCATAGTAACTACGAAGGGAACAACTCTCCAGTGTCATGAAGAGTGACTGAGCTATCCCCTCGGGCCAGCCTCCAGATCCACAACTGGCTGGCAGACTGGACCTTTTACCCGATTAGGCCGGCAGCAATGATGACTACTACATACATAGTAGGTACCAGAGGTACCATAAGTTCATCCCATAACCTTCCGGCATGTCAACTTCTCTGGGGCTCCCAAAGTCAGAATGGACCTCATAGAGATACTGGCATACATACACACATACATACATACATAGTACATACCTGACTCCACCCGAGTCGATCGTACTAATGGACGACGGGTGGGCCAAGTAGCTTGCCTGGACGTTAGACTGTCACTATCGTCATTGCCTTCTCCAATTTTAATTTAGCATTTGATTTGATCCTCATTTCCAAATTATTATTTCTCTCCCATTCAAAATTAATTTTCAGCCTAATTCACTACTACAGTAAGTATTGTACGGCCATCGAGCTGGCTGCGACAGTCGATCAACTGTTTAAATCTTTCAGTAATCACAATACATACCAGCAGCCAACTTGCCTTGGCTATTTGATTTGACTGATGTCCAGCAGCCGTGGCCCGCCGGTAAGAAGCAACAATAGCAAATCCCCAACCGTTCCTGTCAGATGCAGGGCCGCATTTAGTAACCTCCCTGTCTCGGGCAAGATCTCAGAACTCTCAACCCCTCCCTCTACTCCCCTCGCCTTCCCCTCCATCCAGGTGAAGAGGGGACCTAGTTTTGGCACAAAGAGATGACTTAAAGAAGCAATACGAGAGAAGACTGAACCGAAGGTGTGAAGAAGATGGGGACTACCTGGGGTCCCATCCCAAAATAATCATCTGTCTTGCATTCAGGAGGTTAACAATTCTGTGTCTTTCCCCATGAAGAGGGCTAGAAAGAAGTGAATGAAGACAAAGATAATGCATGGCAATCAGAAGGAAAAAAAAACAAAAAAAACAAAATAGGACATCAAGCAAGCTAATCAATCAAAAATAACTATCACATTAGAAATAATAAAATCGGGCAAAGAAATAAAAAAGAAACAGAAAATACCAAAAAATAAAAACCATCCTGTCAAATTAAAACCAAAATAAATTCAGTTGAGGAAAAGACAGCACACCAATGAGTCGTGCAATCAAATCAAATCCCATGGTGCGAAAACAGGAGAGAAAAGAAATCCCAAAGAAGAGGCATCCATGTCTCTCTCAGTCCCAGCAGACTGGAACAAAGACAGCACTATCCCAGAAGCAAACCCCCGTGCCAACATGGGTTTGGGACAGTGTCGCCGCCAGCACCTTCAAGCAGTCTCAGGGTTTCAGCCGCTGGGGATCCCATGGTTGTCTTCCCCATCTAGAACTTCTACCTTGCGATGTCTATCCCGCTTTAAATCACTTGATATCCACTTCTCATGGCTTCCTCTCTCTTCTTCGTCCCCTCCCCCTCTTCATACAAAGTATCTCTGATCTTCACTCTGCTCTGGGAGTCACACAGTCTGCACTGACAGCTTGTATAAGTAACTACCCGGTGATCCGCCACCCGTCTCTCGTGGTGCATCAACAACTAGTTGATGGTGAACTAAGATTATCATCGATAATCACTAAGCTCTCACTTGTCCTTCTCTTTCGCATCCACCTTCAACGATTTCTTTTTTGCATCCTTGCAAGAACTTCCTTGATTCTCTTTTTCATTCAACTTGTGTTTCGTCACCTTCTATTGTTGTCTTTGACTGTTCATTCATCTATTCGCTCCTCAACCTCCTCCCGCCAGTATTCAGTTCATTCAGAACAAGACCGCTTGCTTTATTTATTTGGTCTCCATTCTTCTTTTCTTCTTCTCCTTCTCCTTCTTCCTTCCTTCAACTCTCTCTCTCTCTCAATTCATCAATCTCCTTAGTGTTCAAGACATTTGATCATTTCTGTCAAATGCGAATGTGTTCGAGACTTGCTCTCAGATGCAGAATCCCTTCCCCCACTGAGTAAACGACTGACTGGTGTCCCTTGCACCTCACTGCGCCTTGCCCGCCTATTAGGCATAATCAACATCCACTTTCCCCACAACTCATTCCATCGGAGCAACACACAAGCTCATCCTTTCTGAGACCTGAAAAGACGGTCTTGATTTCATTCTCCTTCCTCCAGCGTCCCCTGCAAGCTCTTCCAATCAACTATCCTGCGTGGGTCCCTGGCGGACTTTGAGCTGGGCTTCCACCCCCTACTCAGTCAAATTCCCATTCCTTGCCTCACACTAAAACCTCATCATGGCTAGCGCTACCAGAGTCATTCGTGGCCAGCCACCCTCGCCGCCCGAATCGACGGATCAGAACACGGTGGCTGATGCTAACCAAGACTTCCATGGTATACTTTCGCCAAATTTCGGACAGCCTGAGCCTTTTTCGGCTGCAGACCTTCATGCAAGCCATGTTCCAAGCGAGGTGAAATACGAGGCAGCATCATTTGTAAGTTCACAGCTATCTCATTTATACTCGCTGAGCAGGCACTAACCCAGCTTCAGGATTATCTTTCCCCCCCTTCTTCACAATTCGTGTCTAATGACTATCCGCGAAACATATCATTGCATCATCCGGTGGGTCGTCCCTCCGCTTGATAACCCTTTCGTTGATCACTAATGTCTCTTAGATCGACACGCCACCATCCACAGCAGACGACTGTCATGTTCCTGGAAGCCTGAGTTCGGCGCCGCAGTGGTCATCGCCTCAGAGTCAGAGACAGCCCCCTAGACCAAGGGTCGCCAGGCCTCCCAGAATGCGGCGCAAGGGTCGGAAGTTGAAGGACCGAGAGTCCAGACCTCATGTTGACAAGCCGCTGAGCGAGTTGACCAAGCACTTGACACATATCCCAATCAAGGACATGGAAAGTTGGGTGCATCGCTCCATAGAAACTCGGCGCCAGGAAGTCGCGAAGAAAAATGGCAAGATTGCCCGCCCGATGAACTCATTCATGCTCTACCGGTCTGCATTTGCGGAGAGAGCAAAAGAATGGTTCTCGCAGAACAATCACCAGGTGGTCTCTGAAGCTGCCGGTGATAGCTGGAAACTGGAGCCTGCCGAGATTCGTGGGAAGTACGAGCATCTGGCGACTGTTGAGAAGGCCAACCATCTGAAAGCACATCCCGGCTACAAGTTCTCCCCGGCAAAGGATAAGAAGAAACGGGCGGGTGTCGACGATGATGGTAATCTGGCAAATACTCCTGATTCTAGCCCAGCTCTGCTACAAAGCCATGGCATGAGCTCGTCAGAGGTGGAGAGCAGTGGTTGGGGCAGCCGTGACTCTACTCCCTTTGACTTTGCGGAACACGGCTTACCTACAGAATCTATTTTTGTTTCGTCTTCACCTTGGCACGCAAGTCGGGGTTCCATGCCAGGCTACATGCCTTCCTCTGACCCATCTCCGTACCTACTTCACTCGGCACACCCGGGCTACATGTCTCACCATGACGACTTTCGGTTCAAACGGCCGAGTTTCCAGGACATCTCGTACAACTCATCAGCTTCTCTGGCAGGACTGCCAGGAGCGTCCCACCATGACCTCCTCCAGCCCGCCAGCTCTGCTTCTACTCCGGGAAGCGGTCAGCTAGACCCCCAGCTTCTGACTCTCCCAAACGAACTTCCGGGTGCCAATCAAATGTATAGCGTCCATCAGCCATTGTGGCCTGATGCATCGACAGTCAACGGTTATGTTCCCATGACAACCTCGATGCCGCCAAGCTCAGTCGCCTATCAGGCGGGCTCAGCCTACTCATCGGCACCGGACATCCAACACCTAGAAGGTCGCGACACATGGGATTCGCCCAATGATGCCAAATTGGAGGGCTCTGGTGGCGACCTCAACTCCTGGATGTCATACTGAGACCCGTGCTCGACTCACCCTAAAGTGTGATAGTTCTATTATTGTCACGATCTCAAAGGGTCGAGATGTTTTCTTGTCCTGTTTCTCAGCGCGGTGGATATCTGTTTGAAACCAGAGTTGTTGTTCGGAGTTTCGGGGCGCTAATATACATGGTGGCTCGGGACTTGTCTATTTGTATCTTCGAATTTCTTGTCGATTCCGGGCAAATGCCCTGTCACATTTGGCTGGCGTATTCCGGGCTTCTTGGCTTTTGCTTATGGGTGGCAGTCTCGTTTAATCAATATGTTTTGATACCTTGTAACGGTACATACTTGTGCACCGGTGTTCTTACTTAGGTTAGAATAGTTGGAAATTACATGATCAGATGTAATTCAAAGTGCTTGATTCAGAGCAAGCCTAACAAAGTTCCCTAAATTTCTGGTACATGCGCAGATGAAGCATTACTCTTGATCAGTATACAATTTTGTTGGATGACTCCAATTAGGCGTGACAGATACGCGGCGCTCTGTCACGTGGAGATATCCGATCGGTGGGGTGGTCAAAGCGACGCGGCGACAGGCAATCAATCCTGCGTGAGACTCACGTCTCCGTCCGTCTGCATGTTCATCGCAAAGCTTATTTCAAGCTCAATCAAGGCACTGCCTTACTAGGCGATGGAATAAACACGTTCAGGAACCCCTTCCGAACTCTGGATTTTCCTGTCCAGCAACCATCAGCTTCAGACTCGCACATCCCAGCAGCGATCCGCGTAGGGGTATACTTTCGCATCCCCGCGTTTGCATATCTTCAATTCACAGCTACAACCACTGCCCGCCATGTCGAACATGTACGGCGAACTGGGTAATAAATTGGTTGGTCTCTTCTTAGTTGTTGGATTCCACCTACGATTTGGCCTAACACGGGTGATCCACAGGTTCAACACGCCAAACGCACCCAGGCTCTAACCCATCTGCCTCCCTACCAAACCGAACTCGTTCGCGCCGTCGCCCGCGAGGTCCGCGACCTAGACCGCGATGTTGCACGCCTGCTGACTCCCTTCGAGGGCAGCTTCAACCCGTCCCAAGAGCCCGCCATTGCCTGCGCCCTCCTCGTCGACCATCTCTGTATGCGTCGTAACAAGCGATGTCTTCTCGCCTACCATCGTGTCCGCACGGAAAAATTGGAGGAGCTCTGTTGGACGGGTGTGGATGTGCTAGAACAGCAATTACCCGTGGCGGAGGAGGCAAGTGCAGGAGCTGCTGCCGCCGCCGCCGCCGCGGCACAAGGCCAGGGCGCTGGCTCGGGGATGAATCACAGCTCGCTGAGCCCGGAGGAAGAAGAGTACTTTCGACAATACAGTGACCTGCTCGCCGCGTATAAGGGGCAGTGGACGGACATTGACCTCACTGGAAGTTTGGAGCCACCCCAAGATTTGTTCATCGATGTGCGAGTCTTGAAGGATGCAGGGGAGATTCAGACGGAATATGGGTATGTTCGGATGAAAATTCCTGTCAACGGTCGGGTGCTAACAATGCGCAGGGTGATCAATTTGACGAAGAACAGTCAGCTCTACGTACGACAAGGGGATGTGGAACGACTGATTGCACAGGGCTTTCTGGAACGGTTGGGATAGATTGCTGTGCCTCCGTGGGCAGGCAGTCAGGATGGAGATTATCCCCCGATGCTGCTTCTGCTGCTCTAGTTGCTGTTTTCTGTGTTACATGATGATACCCATTTAGTTTGTTGAGAGTAGTCTGAAGAGCGGAGACGGTGGCATTGGGACCGACGCTGCGCGAAGTCGAACTCAGGTGGATTAGCGTAGCAATGAGATTTAGTTTTTTGACACATCATAACTGGGACTCGGGAGGTCTACTCAGTAGCCTAGATCGTATGTTACGTCGAAGATAATCTAGGGATCCGTCTTCGGCACTGCGTGGACACAAACATCGCCGTTGCAACGGCCGCTTACCTAATGGCGTCGGCCCTATCATCGGCCTGGATGCGGCCATGCAGCTTCGCCGAGGATTGAAGCTCTTGCCTTCCCACACCATTACTACTGCAGCTATTGTCGCACTTATTCTGACGGCGCCCTCTATCACTGCACACCAATTTAGCTCGCTAGCATAGCCCATGCTCTGTGGCCATCCAGCAGCAGCTTTCGCCATCCAGGTCCCCAACCATCGCGTCTCCATGTCCGAGAAGTGGATCGGTGATAATCCGCCCGTGATAAGACTTTTTAGTCACTTTCACCCACCTAGCTGATAACAACGGCCAGTCATGCCTGGACCGGATTGAATCGCTCTTTTGATCCCTCCCGACCTACTCTCTGAGCGCCTCCCATATCATAATCGTCTGTTTTCCCTTCTTCCCCTCATTCAATCGGCCAATCGTGGAGCGATGTCTATGGTTGTTGATTCTTCTGAGTTCTTGCGTCATCCGGTATCATCTCTGCACTTTCGGCCACTGTCCTAAGATCTCGTCCACGAGCCTGGAAGCCTGCGGGCTGAATCAGTACTTGATCGGCTCTTGCAATCTGCACCGTGACTTCGGCACTTGGGACTTGTGGTAGGCTTATCCTCTGCCACACCATCCGCCATGGGAGTCTTGCGATCGTGCAACAGTGGGAGCGACCTCCGCGGCGCGGGGATGCCTTCGCATCATTCCGCCCTCAATGACGACTTGGAGCCAGCCGGAATGGAGATTCCAGTTGAGCATGCTCATAATGGGAGCCCTCCACGGTCCTCAGTATTAGATCCAACCGTGTCCGGCGGCACCAGTTATCGGACTCCGAGCAGGTCTTTCTTCCATCGGTCATTTCATAACTCTGCAGGTACGCCGCTCATGTAATCGACTCTCGTCCCCCAAAGCATAACCCCGCTGTGTCGTCACAATACAATAATGCAGTGCTGACTGTTTGGCCTAGATCCGGCTCATTATTCGTCCCATGGTATGCGAGAACAAACTGCCGAATTGGCATCCTTCGCCTTGTCGCGTGAATCGAACACACTTCCCTCGTCGCTCGATGTCTTCCGCCCCCCTCGCGAATTGTCGCTTTCTTCGACCCCGACTCCGATCGCAACAGCTGCAGCAAGGGCTCATCTTGAGGCTGGCCCTTCCTCCATTCCGACTACCGGCTCCTCGGTACTGACACAACTGATCCGACACCCCGATATCCCGGAATCAAGCCAGACTGAGCAGTACCACTCTGAAGAGTGGGAGAGGGCAAGTGACAGTACCGTCTCTCAAGACGAGCTTCCGGTCGTCACTGCCGGAGAGACTGTGAGCACAGAGCAAACTTCGTTGTTATCTAAGCCGTCACACCCAAAGCCATATCAAGGCTACGGCGCTACAGGTGATATTGAAAACCAGGGATATGCGGGAACGAAGGGACCGAGCGCTTTTTCCAGTGCCTTCTCGAGTGTCACTACTTGTTTCCGGCTCGTAGCCAACCCGAAATCGTGGGACAAACAGGCTGTATGGCGCGAGGGGGTCGTCTATCCCCTCAGCCTGTTGCCATCGGTATTCCTCGGTCTGTTGCTCAACATACTCGATGCTTTATCTTACGGAATGATCCTCTTCCCATTGGGTGAGCCTATATTTTCTGACCTTGGATCGGACGGTATCTCCATGTTCTACGTGAGCACGATTATTGCTCAGCTCGTTTTTTCTTGCGGAGGTTCCATCTTCCGGGGCGGTATCGGCAGTGAGATGATCGAGGTGGTGCCTTTCTTTCACCAGATGGCTTTCACGATCTTGAATCGAGTTGGAGCGGATAACCCGAAGTCCGTCCTAGCTACCACTATTCTGGCGTTCTCGGTCAGTTCGATTCTGACGGGCCTTGTATTCTTCCTTATGGGGACTTGCAAGCTAGGGGCCTTGATCGGGTTCTTCCCCAGGCATATTCTTATTGGATGCATCGGCGGTGTGGGCTTTTTCCTCTTGTTGACCGGCCTCGAAGTATCAGCTCGGCTTCCCGGCTCGTTCGAGTTCACCTTGGCAACAATGGAGAAGTTGGTGCAACTGGACACAGTATTTCTTTGGACGGTACCCTTGATCCTCGCGGTCGGCTTGCTTGTTTTGAAGCGTTTTCTGCATTCTAATTTCCTCCTCGGCGGCTATTTTATCTGCGTGGCTGTCGTATTTTATATTGTTGTTCTCAGCGCTGGGGTCTCTATGGGCACTCTGCGCAACAAAGGATGGGTCTTCGATGCGCCGTCCTCCTCAAATCCGTGGTATCACTTTTATACCCTTTATGGTATGTGAAAGAATCTTTGTGATAGCGGTGACCTTCTAACTATTCATAGATTTTTCTGCTGTTGACTGGGCCGCGTTCGTGGACACGATCCCAGCAATGTTCGCGCTCACTTTCTTCGGCGTCCTGCATGTACCCATCAATGTGCCTGCCCTGGGCATATCGACGGGCGAGGATAATCTCAACGTGGACCGTGAACTCATCGCGCATGGCGTCACCAATGCCCTGTCCGGCTTCTCGGGCAGCATACAGGTACTGCCTCTGATAGCCTGCCTACGGAGAAACTTGCTGACTTCTATTAGAACTACCTTGTATATACTAATAGTCTATTGTTCATTGACAGTGGTGGCAACTCCCGTTTAGCAGGTATCATGCTCGCGGCCGCGACGGCTGGTATTCTCGTCGTCGGCCCGGCGATTGTCGGCTTTATTCCGGTCATGGTTGTCGGCGCTCTCATTTTTCTGCTGGGAATCGAGCTGATGCAAGAGGCCTTGGTGGACACATGGGGAAAATTGCATCGGCATGAATATATCACGGTAAGCTCTAGTTTGAGTTAATGACGGCACTGGCTAATTCTGAAGGTTGTCATCATTGTTGCAACTATGGGCGCCTGGGATTTTGTTGTTGGTATTCTTGTTGGTATCATTCTCGCCTGTCTAAGCTTTGTCGTGCAGACTTCTCGTAAGTCTGCTATCCGTGCGACTTTCTCGGGCGGGATTACGGGGTCTACAGTCAGACGTCCTCCTATTCAGCAGCGCTTCCTCAAGGAAGCCGGGCAGCAGACCCTCATCATCAAGCTTGGCGGATATCTCTTCTTCGGTACCATCGTGAGCGTTGAGAATACGATGAGAGGATTGATCGAGGAAGAGGCATTCAACCGACGGCCCATCCGATTCCTGATCCTTGACTTCTCCAGGGTTTATGGCATCGACTTCTCCGCGGCCGAGGCATTCACCCGCATCAATCGCATTCTTAGCAAGCGGAACGTTCAAATGACCATTTCTGGTCTCGACGTGGAAGGAGAGGTGGGACGTAGTCTCCAGAACGTGGGCTTATTCGAGGCTGTAACGGGGGTGGAAATTTTCGAGGATCTGAACTCGGCGCTCGAATTCTGTGAGAATGACTATCTCAAAGTGTTCTACAGCCACAGGGAGGCATTGTTGAGGAGACAGCACGGAACTTCTACAAGCTTCCTGGAGGTTCCTACCCCGCAAGCACCATCCCACCTGGGTGATACGATGGTCAGTTCTCCTCGCCAGCGATACCTACAGCAAGCCGCAAGGAGCACCCTCCGCGAAGACGAAGTCGCAGTAGTCGCACCGGCAGCATGGTCTGCCATGCGCCAGCCGCTTCCGCTGCTCCTCCAGACCTTCCAGGGCATTACCTCCCGAAATGAGGATTTCTGGTTTCCAGTGTGCGCCTATTTCGTGCGAGAAAGCTACGCAGCAGGCACTGTCCTATTCCGTGAAGGCGATATTCCGATGGGATTTTATCTTCTGGAATCCGGGATGCTTCGTGCCGAGTACGAACTACCGCAGGGACGATACTTTGAAATCATTGTGGCTGGCCGACCGTGCGGCGAGTTGCCCTTCTTCAGCGAGACCCGCCGGACAGCGACGGTCAAGGCCGAACAGGACTGCGTGAGTTGGTGTTTGAACATGGAGAAGTGGCAGGAGCTGCGTGAAAACGAGCCGGAGATTGCAAGGGAGCTTCTGACGGTCAGTCTGAAACTGACTACGGAGCGGATGGACAGCATTACTTCGTGAGTATTCCGTCATTCCTATACACGGGATTGTGCTTTTTGACTGACATGATTCTCTAGTTACGTTCTAACAACAGCGGCTTGATAGCTGTTTTGACTGGTACTTTGATGCGTTGGCCGGTTCCGCCTATAGTGGCATGTTTTTGGTATATTTGTCTTGCATAGCATGTTGGTGGTTGACTTTCTTCTACCTAACTATTGTATAATGATTGTGAGCGTGTGTATGTATGTGCATCGGCTGTTGTTAATGTGAGCTGGTCGGGCGCATAGCTTGACCGACTAACTTATTACCTATGGTCGTCTTCCAGACTTAACGATTGCTACTTGCATGACTGGCGGGGGTCCAAACAGGATCAAATGCTGAGCCATGGCATAGTTCATTTGATGTAGCGCTGCTCGGCATCACTTGGAATTTTCTCCATGCAGCTTCAGTCAAGTCTATGCTCCGCCCTCCCCATTCTCATCATCCAGAGAGAGGTGTGCAGCACATTCTAAGGAAAGACACGCTTTCTGTTGAAGAAGCACGAAGGCTCGGCCGACGGTCTTCGGAAATGCTCAGTTCCAGTACGGAGTTCGACATACATCCTCTGTGGCATACGGAGTTAAACGACATGCAACTCATTGTCCAGGATCGATTGCACTTGCAAATAGCGGCTATTTCCAGGAGTTCTTTTTGTAATAGATGCCCGAACAAGGGGACTTCTGCTCTGTTCACTGACAGTCTTTGACATCCAGGCATGTTGAGGAAATCCTCCATACTAATCTCCGTTTGCATACTACTAGAGAAAACCTCCGCTAAGCCTCCAGTTCCTACGGTTTCACCAACCCCCATGCTTATAAAATCCGCCATGATAACTAAGATATCAAGAGATCTACTACCTCTCTATCTCTACTTCTACCAACCTTGACTGAATCGCTAAACCTCACACTGGGAAACACTGAACCTAACCCCAGATCTCACTAATTACCACCAGGAAACCCCCCACCCAGGACTCCCACTAACTATACTACATAGCATCAACTACCAAAATGAGCGCCCCCACCAACAACACCATCTACAGACGCTCCCACGCCCTCGAGTCCACCAGCCTATGGTATGCCGCCCTCAGTGATCTCTTCCCCACCGCGGCAGGCTTCACCGTAGACCTCGAAGCCGGGATCATCTCCCCGATGCGCGAGTCCTACAACCGCATCACCGTGACTTTCCGTAAGCCTGCGCACGAAGCTGCAGCTGCAGCTGAAGCGTAGGCTAAGAACGTAGCCGGCAGGGACGGCAGCGGCAGCGGCAGCGGCAGCGGGACCCTCATCATCTTCACCCTCATAAGCGGCGTGCTGCGACGCCCGCGCACGCACCCGGGCCACCACGTGCTCGTTCTGCGGGATTTTCTGGCCGCCGTGCACCATCACGGCCACGACCACTACTACCGACACCACCATCACCCGCCCCAGCTACTGTCTTCGTCGGCGGGGCCCATCGTCGGCGCCGTGATGCTTCCTCGTCTGCCGGTGACGATACAATTCTACCGGTGGGACTGGGGCCACGGCGGGTGGGTGTTGCCCGTGGGGCAGGCGTTCGATGAGCTTGTAGACCGCCGGGGGATCTTGGGGGTGTTGGTCGGGATGAAGGGGTTGGTTCTGAGCAGTGGTGGGTTTGGGTTGGGGAGGGGGGTTAATTGGGTGGATGATGAGGAGGAGGTGGAGGAGGATTCTTTGGTGGTGAGGGTTTAGACGCAGACTGTTCTTGTTTTCGATACTCCCGTTTCTGTTGAGGAGTAGGGCGCATTTTCTTTGGATATTGGTACGAATATGAGGATTATTACTCTTTGATGTTTTTCTGTCCTTGTTGGTAGAACCTTGAGGTTGTGTATTGTTTTCTTGTGAATGGGGGATGTGTAGGGTGCGATGTATACAGTAGCTAGGAGGGTTTCCTAATGATCTAGATCATTGGTGGTGGTGGCCTCTGCAGTCTGCATGGCACCTGCATACAGGTACTACTACTGGATAGGTAGATAATATGAGAGCAAGTTTGTTCCACGACGCAGTCGACTATGGGAATCTTCTACTGGGTATCTAGAAAGGGATCTTACACCCATGAGAGAAAAGAATTCAAGGCTTAATACCAGGATACACCCTCACACTACTAATAAACGAAGAATGAGTATATCCACCCTTCCCCCGTCTCCCTCCGCACCACTATACGTTTGATATGCGCAAGCAATCTACCCCCACCTGACCGACTCACACAATCGATCAACGATGGCGTAGATCAAGATCACACTTGACGAGACCAGTCTTGGATCTGACCCCGAACTCCTTCCTCTCTCTCCCTCACGCGAGCAGGATTCGCCATCTCGTCAGGTGGTGACAGTGATACCATCTTAGAGTTCATTGCGCTAGCGGACGAATCGGAGGATGTGTGCCTATCGATGGGAAGACCTCGGGTTTCCGAGGCGGGGGATCTACAGAGTGCATGGCGCATCCTGTATATGGTACGGAGTATGGTTACTGTATGCTAGGTGTATATGGCGTGATAAGGCACGTCATGCGACTGCAGTGGGTTGCCTGCGGCGCCCGCCGGGTTTAGCCTTCCCCTGATGTCAGCCAGCCCCTCTCCACTTTGTCAGGGTGGGCTTGGGGTTGGTTGAGTGAAAGTGTATTCAGTATTTCCGTTTTGATGCGCTAGACTGCGGTGGAGTTGTAGAGGTTATTTGGCTGGAGTGGGGAGGTGTTTGGTCACGTGAGGTATGAGGTGGGCTAAATACCTACTGAGGTTCTATACTTCTGCAGTGACGAGCGCTAACATAACTTAGTACTCGTCACTGTCGTGAGTAGGCTGAAGATGCAAGATCTCAAGGGTTGAGCTGTGGTTCCGTTTGTGTACCATGCAATCCACTTCGTTTTGGCAGATAGCACCCCCGGTTGATTTGGGTTTGATAATGGTTGATGGTATTGAAGTTAGTAGTTGGCTAATGGCAGCCCTGTACTGTAAGTGAGCCGCTGCATCGCCTGGAGATCACTTCCTGCCAATGGGGTAGAAATGGACGGTTGGGTCCTGTCCACACCGCCGAGATCACCATCCCAAGAAACTGAAAGGCCCTTGAGGGAAATGATATAACCACGTTCCCTTTTTAAGAGGAAGGTATGATCGATCGTGTCCGTGCAGAGATCAATAACTAGTGCCTAGACAAGGATCTAGCGCTGATCAACGACGGTCATGACCATGATCATGTAAGCTTCCAAACAACGTGACCTCCCCCCATGCTAAGGGTCAATTATTTTCAATTCGGTGTCGCCTTGCAGTCACAGGTAGCGTGACTTCTATACCTGAGACTGGTTTAGTGAGCAGGTAAATTATTGCGTAGACTAGCTCCGCGGCTCCCCTCTGTAGTGCAAATTAGCACCCGCCGGGGGGGGCTGAAAATCCAACCGCCCACTTTTATATTGAATAGATTAATTGATAAGCAAAGTCAACGGTTTCGGTGTCAGATGAGAGGAGGGGGGCTGCAGGTGGCGTTGAAAGCCGGTAGAAGCTCATATTGGGGCGGAAACTTGATTGTTTTATTGGTCTACCAACGAGTAGTTATTGTGGACTTCGATAAGTTGGTTGATTTGGTGCTACACATACTACTCAGTAGGTAACAGACATGGAGCGGGATGATAAACTGGGTTCTGCCGGGTTTATTATAAGTTTCATACCTCATGGTTGGCGATCACGGCTGGGATTCAGATCTTGCGGTAGTCGAGGAAGCGGTGGCGGTGTGAGCAAGTCAAGGCGGTATGTGCATGCTTCTCATACTCCTACTCAAGTAAAGAGCTGCCATTGACCCCACGTTTGCGCTCTGAAGGCACTCGGGAACTCATGTGTATGAGTAATTACTCGGCAGCAGAAGCTAGAAGTGGTCACGTTTTGGATAGTCGGGATGATCAAGGGAGTAACTAGCAGGTGTAAATTGGAAGTGGGCATGATTGTCGGGGTACGATGTAGAGCGAAGATGATGGGCTAATCTCTGGTTAGGATTGTCACTTCATGGGATGTTTGTTAGTAAGTGTATGTTTTGCAAACAAGCACATCATCCACCCCTTTTCCACTACATCTCTCAGCAAACGTCTCTTCCAAGTACGTATCAAAGCATGGGTGCCCCTCCCCAACCACAACCACTACTCGCTTCTTTCGTGAGTGTGGTTCTCATGTTCTATCTAGATACCCGCCGCGAAAGGTACAAAACGATGTCCGGCAGCGCCACCGTTTTCCGTGGCCAGTGGACCATCCACGGCTATAATTATGTGTGCGACGGGGTCACAAATCAAGTTCTTGAGGACTGGGAGTCGCAGGCTACCTGGTCGGTGTCTTGGACGTTGACAATCTGGGGGCTTATCCCTCATCGGCCCCGGGTGACGTTTCCCTCCCGCTTCCCACGGTTGGGGGTTCTGGACTATGACTCCTGCTGAGTAAGAGCTCTGTACCTTTGGGAGGGGCGATTTGAAGCGTGAAGCAGGAAATGTAAATTGAATCTAGATGGCGAAGAGGGGAGGTTTATGCGGTCGTGAGAGTTATCGTGGGTGGTGAAATTGAGAGTCGACAAGTGGTCTACCGCGTGCTGGTCTTCTTTCTGGCTATACAACATCATACTATATGGCTAGATGGACGAATGGCTGTCTGTCGGCAAAAAGTCAGACAGTGGGATTGTCTGGATCAGCAAGCAAGACGGCGGTTCAACACGGGCCAAGCCATTGATCATCAGATCGACGGTGGCCTGATTGGTGGACGGTCGGGATTGAAGCTCATCAGCTTATGTTGGTTGGTTCGCTTCAAGCCCGAGGCCTGCTGGTGGTCGTTGAAACGGCCGGGAGGGAAGAGAACGCAGAATGGAAAATTTACTAAAAACTAGTGCTGTACGTTCTCCGATAGTAGTAAAGGCAAAAAAAGGGGGAGAATGAGGAAGCGGGCAAATTGGCCGGCCCACTGCGATAACCCTTCTTGCAAACTTGTTTGTAACGTTACTCGAGTATATGAGAGGCCATGGAGTAGAGTCAGTTTGCTGAGGAGATTTGTTAGAATGGATTGGCAAGCGACGTGCGCTGGTTCTATCATGGATCATCATTGTTGATCATGATTTCTCGAATAGTGGTTGCGTTGAGCAAAGTAGATCCCGCGAGCCGCAAAATTGTATATAACCAACCTATTGTGCAAATGTCATGTCGGAGAACTTCCATGGTACGGACGGTACTGTACATCCAAATCAACGGAGGAAGTATGAGCTCTATCTCATTAGGGATATTCTTCCGCTTTTGCAGCCGCTGCCTTGCTACAGAAGCAGGCCAGAAAGACAGGATCATCATTCAAGAAATTCAAGAAGATTCAGAAAGCACATACTACAAAAGTCGTGACTCGTGAGTCGTGAGACAGGGGATGATTGAGAGTGGGGCGGCCTTTCCAGCTCTGGCGCTGGAGCTAACAAACAATATCCTATCCACTTTTTACTCTCCTGAGTAAGAAGTACGAACTCATGGTCCCAAGGAGATGTTATTCCTTCCCTTTTACGCCCCCCCCCCCCCCCTCCTCCCCTCTAGGGCCCTTCTCCCTTTCCCAAATATTTTCCTTGTGATGTTGAGCACGGGGACGGCCGAAGAAGGTGGCGGAGGTTTGGAAATTCCTTTGGTTAGGTTCGTTTCATCGGCTTGCGCCAGTGACTTTATCGCCTAGTATCGCCAGATTGAATGGAACGAACTAGATGGGAAAGATGGAATAACTTCAAGTTTGTCTCTATCGCTCAATAGGCGGCGGATTACTCCCCTCCGACCATATTTTGGCGAATTGGTTTCCAAGACTTCAGTCACGCGAGCCCAGGATTGAATCTCTCTCTCTCTGTCTCTCCCGGCGAGTCAGCGGCGCCGATAGGGTAGATAAAAAAGATCAGGCAAGGTGGGAAAAGTTCCAAGTTGCCAAAGATGGAGGGGCTCCTTTTCCGCTGGTTGGTCCTACAGTCTTGAACAATGCTGGGCTGTCACGAGGCATTCCGGTCGCATGGACGGGACTGGTCTGAGAAACTGCCGGTGGGTGGTCAGTCTAGCAGAAGAAGGGAGTTCGGGATTCAAGCAGGCAAATCAGAGTCCCCTTCAGCATGAACACATTGATGTGGCACAGAATGACGACGACGATGAGGAGAGAAGAGGACGACAACAGCAGCAGCAGCAGCAGCAGCAACAAAATGAAGATGGTCGCCAAAAACAGCGGGCGGGTAACCGAGCGTTTGGACTAAAAAGCTAACTAACCCACTATTTAGACTAGCCCGGCGCTTAACATATTTCCTTCATCATGGTTTGATTCTCTGCTGCTGGGATTTTTTTTCTTCCCTGACAATAACGGCAACATCAAGATCTAAGTGGATCGGTTGGGCAGGAGACTTAAGGACTTAAGGTACTAAATATCTGTTCCCGACCGGGCTTTCTGCTATATGTGAAACATCAATAGTCGCGATTCAGCGCGATTCAGTTTCGGCAGCCATCGCCAACCGCCTACTTTCAAGCAGCGACGCGGCGGCAGCATCAGAATTAACTGCAGTGTAGTCTATGGAAAGCTGGTCTCTGTCTCTGCCTGGAACGAAGGAGTCATAGACTAGGTTAGACTACCTAGTTACTAGTCTAGTCTCGAGAAATAAACAACAAGAAGCCATCTGATTCTGACCCATGGTTGTGTAACGGACCAGCCTTGGAAGCTAAGCCCACCA